GAATATCTAAATTTGATTGCTATGCATGGAATGCTCCCAGCTCATCTTTTGCCTACGAGAGAAACCAATTGTTTAGACCACGTTATGCTGCGCGCTTCATGTTATACATCCACCATCATTCTTGATTCACTCATCACGGACCATGCTCCTATTTTATTCCATTGCACTACTAAAGTAAATTCAATTTCTGCAAAGCGTTTCTCTCAACATTGTGATATCTCTGCTGTTGTAAAAGAAATAGAATCTACAGACTTTTCTCCTGTATTTGACTCCAGTAATCCTAATATGTCTGCTGATCTCTTAGTTAGTATTGTATCTAACATTATCAAAACTCATAGTCGTAATGTACAAATTTCCAGTAGAAAACGCATCATTAGACCATGGATTACTCCTGGCCTACTGAAATGTATACGACATAGAGACAAGTTATACCGTAAATTTAAGAAGAATCCCAATAATGAAATTCATAAAATAATCTACACACGGTATCGTACCTTTTGTAATAATCTCTTAAAAAAAAAATTAAAAAGAATTTTCAACAGAATGAGATCCAAAGGGTCAGAAAGAATCCAAAGGAAACATGGAGTTTAATTAAGAGAATGGCTAATCTCCAGAATAGACAAAGTAATTCTACAAGATTACTGAAATTAAATAATAATCCATTATCTTCTGTTAACTTAGTTAATACATTCTTTGCTAACATTGGTAAGAATCTAGCATCCGCCATTGAATCAAGGTATAACGGTAATTCTCGAATACAACATGACTCAGCTACGCCTTTACTACACAGGCATGATACCTGTAGCCAATCTTCTCCCAACTCTATGGCTTTTTTCGATGTGGATGAAGAGGAAATTGAAAATATTATTATTAATTTAAAAACCAACTGTGCTGTTGGATGGGACGGTGTCTCTACTTCTATAATTAAGTCAGTAAGACATGTAATTATTTCTATACTAAAATATGTATTCAATTGTGCTATCAATATGGGTATTTTTCCTAACGCTTTTAAAAAAGCAATAGTACATCCAATTTTTAAAGGTGGAGATGGAGACGTTATTTCTAATTATAGACCTATTTCAGTCTTATCCGTTTTTTCAAAGATATTTGAAAAAATCCTAAACCGTAGATTAAAAACATTTATTGATAGTCGTAATATACTATCACCTAACCAATTTGGATTTAGAAATAAAAAATCTACGGAGGATGCAGTTTTAGAACTTACCAATATAATTACTGAAAACTTTGACAATAAGAAAAAATCTGTGGGTATATTCTTAGACCTTTCTAAAGCCTTTGATACTGTCTCTATTCCTATTTTGCTTGGCAAACTAGAAAGTGTAGGTGTTAGAGGTATAGCTCTTGATATGTTCAGAAGCTATCTTACAAACCGTACTCAGTGTGTAACTATTGATGGTTATGTAAGTGAAGATGAATATATCAGTTATGGTGTTCCTCAGGGTAGTGTTCTAGGGCCTACCTTATTTTTAATTTATATTAATGAGCTTTGTAATTTGACTATTCAAAACTGCAAAATAGTTACCTATGCGGATGATACAGTTCTCCTCATCAGTGGACATGACTGGATGGAGACACAAATGCATTCAGAGAATGCAATGAGGCTGGTCATGAGGTGGCTTCAGTCAAACCTTCTTACACTTAATCTCTTAAAGACAAAATTTATCCCCTTCTCTATAAATAGTATCTCTCGGCCTTCCTCCGCATTTTCGATTCGTCCACATATTTGTCCAACTTCAACAATTCTTAATCCCTGCAATTGTATATCCGTGGAACGTGTTACAAGTATAAAATATCTTGGGGTAACGTTGGACGGTTCGATGACGTGGAGGCAACATGTTGATTGTACCGTCTCCCGCGTAAGAAGGTTGATGTTTGTTTTTAAGAGATTAAGAGGCGTCATGGATTTCAACACCTTAAAAACTGTCTATTATGCACTCGCACAGTCTATAATAACATACTGTATCACCTCCTGGGGTGGAGCTGTTAAAACAGTATTGCTGAAGCTTGAACGGGCTCAAAGAGCTGTTTTGAAAGTTTTGGCTAAAAAACCAGTTTTATTCCCTACTATGGAACTGTATGTGCTCTGTCGGGTTTTAACTGTTCGACAACTATTTATTTTAAATACTATGCTACGTAAGCATTCTGAAATACCGTATGAAGTAAACCTGATAATTTCGAAGCGTAAATCTTATAAAATTTGTAAAATTGAACCTCGACGCACTGCTATAGCGAGCCGACATTATCACCATATAAGTTCCTCTCTATATAATAGATTAAACAAAGAATTAGATATATATCCTTTACCTTACCATAAATGCAAAGATAAATGTTTAAAATTTCTCCAATCCTTATCATATGATGATACAGAAGATCTTATTAAATTTTCCGAATGAATTTACAATTTTTTTCACACCTCCATAGATACACAAATTCATACACACACACTCATACACACGTTCACACACACACACACACAGACACACACACACACGCACACACAAACACACACACACATTTACGCACACACACTTTTATTTTGTTTTTCTTTTTTTTGTTTTTAAGTTAACATGTAGGCTACTGTATTTAAATTATATATATTGTTTTTAATTATTGTAGTTTATTAGTATTGTAGTTGGTTGCTAAATATAACAAAATGTCTTCATTGATATATTGATATATTGATAGCTACCATAAATGTCTGTTTTGGAATCCTGCAATGAGGAGGAGGGCGTTGATATTCGCAACACAGTTTTATACTTCTGCGGATATCATCGTTTTTCAATAATATTGTATCCACTGTTTTTGTTCCAAATAAAGAATTATTATTATTATTATTATTTTTTAAATTTCACTAAAATTCTCATCTCCCCTCTTAAGGAGAGGAGATGGCAACTAACCCCCGGCAGAAGCACAGTCGGCCGGGGTTCAGGGCCCCAGGGAGAGAAACCGGCGTACAATGCGGGCAGAATCTAAGAGCACCGCTTTCTGCATCTTTCCCGGAAGTGAACCGCCTCTGAATCCCAACCGTCTGAGATGTTGTTCGAGACTGGTTGGGATAAGACCGTTCACCGACATAACGATTGGGATGATTTCGGTAGATGTCACCCCCCACATTTCGGTCACCTCGTGAGCCAGGTCGAGATATTTTCTCTTCTTCTCGGTTTCGGCTTTCACGAGGTTCTCGTCATGCGGTATGGTGACATCCACCAAAAACACCCTCGAGAGTGCCCGATCCATCACCACGATATCAGGTTTGTTCGCAAGAACGGTCCTGTCCGTGATGATGGATCGGTCCCAGTAGAGCCTTACGCTGTCGCTTTCGAAGACCGGCTGGGGCTCATACTTATAGTACGGCAACCTCTCATTCGCGAGGCCGTACTTCAGAGCTAGCTCTTGATGGAGTATTTTGGCTACCTGGTTGTGTCTGTGCAAGTACTCAGTGTTGGCAAGAGCTGAACAACCCGAAAGCACATGTCTGAGTGACTCTCCGGGATGGCGACATGCTCGACAGATGTCCTCAGTGCCATCCTTCAGAATGTGCTTTCGGTAATTGTTCGTCTTAACCACCTGATCCTGTATTGCACAGACAAAACCCTCGGTCTCTCCGAAGAGATCACCGAACTGTAGCCAGTGCACGGAGGTCTTCGTGTTTACGTACGGCCCGTGAAGGGCTTTGAAGAACCTTCCGTGCAACTCCTTCTCTTTCCATACGGCCTCCCGCTGAGAGGTACCCAAAACTTCGGGTTTTCGCCAGTCCTCTTTAGCCAGAGAAAGAGGGGTGAATCCTTTGTCACATTCTATGACCTCTCTATGCAAACCCTCGTCTCTTTTCTCCAGAAAATATGTCCTGAGGCTGTCAATCTCGCGGTTGTGCATGGTCTTAACGCTTAACAAGCCTCGACCACCAGCTTTCCGCGGGATATACAGCCTCATGACTGACGATTTCGGGTGATGCATTCTATGGAGGGTCATAGTTGTGCGGACTTTCCGATCCAGGGCTTCGAGTTCGGTTTGAGACCATCTGAGCACGCCAAAAGTGTAAAGGAGTACGGGTATGACCCAGCCGTTATAAGCTCGGATTTTATTGGCGCCCGACAAAGAACTTTTCAGTACTCTTGTAAGGCGCGCAAAAAATTCCTCGCGGACTGACTGTTTCATATCCGTCTCCTTCACACCGATGTTTTGTGACATGCCCATATACCGGTATGTTTCAGCCTCGGAGAGGGTTTTAATATTAGAGGGATCTGTGGCGATCCCTTCAGTTTGAGTGACCCGTCCCCTCTGCACATGGAGGACCGCGCACTTGTCTATTCCGAGCGCCATCCTAATAGAGCTGCTATAATCGTTTCCAAATAAAGAATTATTATTATTATTATTATTTGTTTAAATTGAGAAATTAATGCAATAGAAAAGGACAAAACACTGCAATAGTTAAAATAGAGATTAACATTTTTATGAATAAGGGTTTAGTAAATTACTGTGTTTGTAGTGTTTAATACTGTTCATGTCCTATTTAACGTTTAAAATGTTTAGTCAGGTAGGCTATCTGCTTGCTTTTTAAAAAGTCGTCTTATAGCAAAAATAAACATTAATTAGCAAGGTGTAAATTAATATTAATTGTCATATATTGGAAAGTATATTCTGAGTGTACCGAGTTTGTAATTGAATAATTTTTTTTTGCTAGTCCTTTGGAGTGAACGGAACTGTCCCATCAGTTGGACTTTTCTTTAAATAGTGCGTGCTGACTAGCGTGGGATATGTGAGCATAAATTCAAGTAGCCTATCGTGATAAATTTACTACAGAAATTAACCACGATGGTTTCCAGACGGGAAATAAACCTGACGGGTATATTGTTAGCAGTAGAACTGTTAGCTCCTATACTAACAATCTCTTTTCCTTACTGCAGTAATTAAGTGGGTACAGCTGGAACTATTGGTAGAATAAAATCATATTGAGTTTACTGTTCTTTTTGTTTCAGCCCATCGTTTACGAGGGACAAGACAAAAATCCAGAAATGTGCAGGGTTTTACTTACACACGAAGTTATGTGCAGGTATGTGCATCCATCATAATGGATTCGCAATAATATGTTTTATATAGAGTGCAATGGAATTCGTTAGCTATCTTTGAAGGAATAGAAACGAAATTTGAATATTTTTATCAAGAAACAAAAAGATGAGTCGATAAGTGATAAAAAATTATGAGCATTCCATATTAACACAGCATATTCAGTTGTTGAGTTAGTACGAGAGACTTTAATATTTTTATTGTTTTCAATTATGTTCAATAGGATGGATAAATTTTAGTTCTATGTGGCGCTAATAATATTGATTTATTGGGTAAATAAAAAATCTTTTTGAATTAAATATCAATATTAGGTTACTTCAGTCGTTTCAGTACTTTTATGTACAAATATATGAGTATGACTCCTAGAAAAATTACATATAAATCACGCATCATTCTGTATATAAATAGGTATAGGTTGTAAATAAAAAACAATAACATGTGAAAGAGTTGTAATTATTAACATGGAAATGTAGAATGATAAGGAATAATAAAGAAAGTACTCCTAAGGCAACTAGCTACGCATAAGAGATGTCATGGCCATAACAGTATATACTCGTATATACTTTTTATACAACTTAGAATGGCAAACAAGCTGACGGCCCACTTGATGGAAAGTGGTAACCGTCGCCTATAGACATGAACAGTACCATGGGCATAATAGAGTATACTGTTTCACCTATGATAACCTCCATGCGTTGCCATTCCTGAGGACTCAAGTGTTATTCTTCTGTACATTGTAAATTCACGCCACTCCACCCTTCAAACCGGAACACAACCATCCGAACACAACTGCTTTACGGTTGAAACACGAATGGGACAGAAGTACCCAAGCAAACGACTTTTGTACAAAGTCTTCTTCTGGTATCTGTAATATCAATGGTACTGTTCGTGTCTATAGGCGATAGTTACTTCTTTCCATCAGATGAGCAGTCACTTGCTATTCGAAGTATCATAAAAGAAGAAATTATTATTTAAGTTATATGAAATAAAAATGGTTTCGAGTAAGTTGAGCTTCCAACTCAAGGATTTCGTACAGCTGTAGGTTAGAATTTTAAAGTTACAGCTTAGAATTTCCACATTATTTAATTTAGGTATTCAATATTTCCTATACTTACACTATTAAGTATCAAGTCTCATTTGGGGGTTATTTTCTAAGTAAGGGAGTAGAATCAGAAAGATTTCTTCGAATAATATTCATCCAAGTGTCACTAATAATAAATTATTTATTATTAGGGTGACAAGGATAGACTACCGAATTCTTGCTTGTCATCTTTCCTCAAATACAAGCCCATTGTAATTCTGTCTTTAGCAGTTACATTGTTTTTTTTTTTAAATATAGATTTTGTATTATATCTATATTTTACTAAAATTATTATAAGGTATTTGACTTTAGGCGTTTGTTTAGTATTTGATTTTAAAAAAGTAACTTTAATTAATAGCTAATTAAACTGATATACCTATTATTATTTACTTTATTAGTACTGTAATATAAATATTCTCATAAAAATATTTTTAAATTCTTCTTTATTTGTGGTTTTATCTTTTTAAAAATATTACGTATTCTAAAAATAAATACCTATACAGATATAAAATATAAATACCTATATTTAAACTCGACAGATTTTCATTGAGAGCATGTTAACACAGACCTACATTCGCCGAACACCATTCTCTCGTAACTTGGTAATTACAAAAGTCTGCGAACGCTAAAGAAGTGAATGTCCTTATTAATTTAAACATTTGTTTGGGGTGGTTTTTCCGGTCGTAACAAGAGCGTAGCGTCTCGCCAACGTCTCTATGTGTACGTGTTTACAAACACGCGACCGCATTTGTGTGAGCAATTAAAATTTTATTCCACCTTAGACGCAGTGTTGATGTCTCAATCGGTCCGCTATGTTTGTCCCTCTTGCTCGTCTTCAGGGGAGGAGTCTCGAGGGAGTCTGTCCTTTCAATGTCTTTGCCCTTTGCGCCAAGGAGCCCCGGTAGAGCGCGTGCAGTGTAACGTTGTGTTCGATTAGTATGGACATGACTGAAATTATCAAATGTTGAAATAATAGGAAAAACATGTTATTGTATTAATCATATATGAATACATTTTGTACTTCTGCTTTATAGAAAAATGACAAATAATTTTATAAGTAATTGCGTATTTGTTAGTATATGCTTGCGATGAACTTTTAATAATTAGTTACATATAAAGATAATATCCGAAGGTTTATTGGTAGAGAGTGCTAATAAATAGCATTAAGTTCGCCTTTTTGTACCATACTTTCTTTTGATTAATAAAGTTATTTTAATTAAAAAAAAATGTGTAACATTAAAAAGAAATAAATAATAAATAGGACAAACTAATACTATAACGTATTGTGCGTATATATGTATATATATTGTCTCCTCCGACGCTCTCTTTACCATTATGCAAACTAGACTAAGTTCACAACTGTGCTAATGTTCGCTATCTTTATACACTCCTTTACAAAAATGTGCACTTTTGTAGTAAGAAAAAACGTTACATATTATAAAAATATCTATTGGAATTGAAAAAATAATAAGCATTGTACAATTAGTTCTTTAATTTAAAAATAGTTATTTTTATTTATTGGTAAAAGGCGAGCTTACAAAGTAAATCAAAGTATTATGAAATCGGAGGTCAAAATATATTAACTACAAAATCAACTTCGAATAAGTGAGGAGTTTAAATGGTCATTGTTAAAAAAAGATATCCGATGTTGATATTTGTATAATCGTATAGCCGAAAATCAACTCGACGTCCTTAATAAATTGTTATATTAAATTATCTTCAAATTTTTAAAGTTTTTAAAAAGGAATCATGAATCAAAGGAAGGCGTAGTTATTTTGGAAGATTTTTTATTTTTTGTACCTATAAAGTATTTATTATATCCCTTAAAATACCTACATATTTATTTAACTACGTTTATTCACGTAGTAAATTCCCTTTTTTCGTTTAGGATTCTATTACATTTTACTATTCTTATAAGAATTTAAATTTTAAAAATCTAAAAAGAATATTCCTCTTAGTTCCCTGGTATTTGATGTCATATCGGACCACTATAAATCGTTCCGATGAGTCATACGCATCTTCGGAACCCTTCGATACATCTACTAAGAATACAAGTATATTGATTTTTCTCCCTCAAGATATCACTTTTAAGATATAAGTTACCTTAAAAGTTACCAGTCGTTCCACTCAAAAAAATAACTTGAAATTATTCACGTGGGTTATATTATTAAATTTATAATTTGAATTTGTTTACATTTAGTAAATTATAATAATGTTTTCATTTCATCCTTATAGTACCTATACTTATTATTATTACTTATACATCCTAGTAGTAGTATTATTTCATTTCATTTCAGTAATGTGAAATTACCTACTGGATTTATTTAGGTTATATTTGGTAGATTTTTTTTGTACCAAAGGGAAATCGTTTGCTTGGATTTCTGTCCCATTCGTATTTCCATCGTGAGGCAGTTGTGTTTGTGTGGTTTTGTTTCAGTTTAAAAGGTGGAATATGGTAGTGAATTTACAGGGTACACAAGCATAATACCTTAATCCTCAGGAAAGGGAACGCATAGGGGGGGGGGGGGGTCAAAAGTAAAATACGAAAGGGCGAGGGATGGGCAGCAGCGTCCCTCTTCAAACGTCTCTAAAAGCCTAACTGCGGTTGCTAACCCGCCTGCCAAGCGTGGCAACTACTGGCAAAACTCCCCTCATGGGGAAGGCTTATGTCCACCAGTGGACAGTGAATGGCCGAAATAATAATAATAATACAATGTATCAAAGATTTTACATAGATAAACTCATAATTTGTGTCTGATAGACATATATGTTATAACAATCTTATTATTTTTCAGTCGGTGTTGTGATAAGAAAAGTTGCGGCAACAGAAACGAAACGCCATCAGATCCTGTTATAATTGATAGGTAAGTACATTTTTAAGTTTATTTTAAAACTAGCTTTTAACTGCCATTTCATCCGCGTGTCTGGGATATATTTACTGACCGGAATAAAAAGTAGTTTAAATCCTTATTCATCCCATGTAGTACATACCTGTACCAAATTTCATGGTGATAGGTTAAATCCTTAATGCACTAAGTGATAACAAACAAATAAAATCGCTTTCACAAGTACAATACTAGTAAAGTTTTTTTTCCATCATTGTATTTTCCATCAGGTGGACTATTAGCTTGTTTGTCACGTTATTGTATTGTATTGCATAAAAGAAATTATGAAACATGTATCATCAAATTTATATCAAATTTTTAATGGCAAAGTTTTAATGCCAGCAACCCACATATACAACCCACAATACACTTAACATCGGATAGATCATATTGGTTTTGTCACCTTATTACGCCGTTTTAAATGATGATGATAATCAAATACCTAACTAACCAAAATATATAGGGGGAAAGGGATTGTTAGTAATGTAGACTGAGAATCCCATTGCTAGCAATATACCCAGCCAGGTCGACTTTCTCGCGGTTCCCCCTGGAAACTATTATGGTTAATTCCTGATGAATTCATCATGATGGGTTGTTTTCATTCTCATCTATCACCCTTCATTGGTGCTCCGCCAGCGTATCCCGTTAGCGCAGGCGGGGTTACCATTCCATTTTCACCCATCAAAAAAAAACCAAAATATATACGCCCTTACTGAAATTTGTAAAATACCCTATCCAATAAACGGCGCAGGAAACATTAAAACGTCATCAAAGTTTTCTTTCTGCCATTGAAAAAAATATAAGTCCACTAGTTAAAAATTGGTACTCCTCCATTTGCGATTTATCAGCCACAATGACAGAATTCTCAAAAGTTCCCTCTGCAAATGCATTTTCGCGATATACCTAAGCAAACTTTTATTCGAGCACGCGTTGCCATTTTATTTTTGTTTGCGGTCCTCGCAAATATATTGTCATTCAGATATGAGTTTATTTTGTTTGTCTATATTATTATATCGGTCGTAAGTAAATAAATTTGGTTTACACAATTTTATTTTGTCATAAATAACGTATGTAGGTACTTAAAATAATAATATATTGAAATCGCGTAAAAAAAAAACTTTTTTTATATGATAAAACAAGTAGATATAAGATAATTATTATTGTATATGCACCATTTAGTCCAGTTTATAGTTTTTTTTTTCAAAGTTACGAGACTTTTAATAACATTGTAAAAATTTTATTAATTACGACCCTATGGAACTTCACAGTAAGAAATGAATACCGCAAATAAGCTCTACTATTGATCTCCCGCTGATTCATTCATTTGATATAGAACAATACTTTTGGGAAGAATTCGGGCTAATCAGGCTGACAAATACCAAAATTTCAATAGAATACCGCTCCAACTATTGATATGTGGGAGGAGAGGGTATGTGGTATTGTCGTGCTTTTGTTTTAGATCCTCTTTCGGGGATTCAATACAGATAGGCGTCTCCTATTTGGAATGTCGTTTATTTTACACTTAGGGCTGAAAGATTTGATAAAAAAATATTAATAATGTATATCATATATATATATATATATATATATATATATATATATGTGAATAAAGTATTTATATTGACATTGCTTATAGACCACACCATTTTTTTGCTAAACAGATATGTAATCTATCTTTCTAAGATACTTTTTTATTTAAATAGTAATTGCATTGTGTATTTATTGAAATTAAGTTATATGTGTTTATATTTTAACTTTTAACTTAAGTAGTATATTATATATATTTTATTACGTAAATAAATGTTATATATATGTGTATTAGGATATGGGTTTTTTAAATTTGATAACTCTTCCCTTTTGCTTATGATGATACTTAGAAAAATAAATACAGGACATTATTCGGATACCTATTGTACATTTCTGTAAAGGATAGCATGCGTGACTAGAAGCGCTTTATGTAGGCAATTTATACTCATTCGAAATTTAACTTACTGTAGGTTATAACAATTAGCTTAAAATACAGTCACGTAAGAACTCTTAGTTACTATTTATTACTTTAATTATTACCTATTATAGGTATTTTTTTTTTATATTTTCACTTATAAAGTCCCATTTATGTTTAAGGACTATTGTAGAAAATGGTTCCTTAAACAATGCTTATATTTTATAAACCTCCTAGGTAGTCAATAGATTTTATTATTATCAGCTTTTTGTTTTATTACTTAAGTTAGGGACTTCACACTATATTGTAACAAAGAGTGAAATAAAGATTATTTATATTTATTATTTATTATTACATACTAGCTTTTATTCGCGACTTCGTTCGCGTGTTAGGGATATGTTCACTGACCGTGACACAAAGTTATTCATCTATATCCTTCTCCATTCTATATAGTACATACGAAATTTCAGAGAGTGATTCATTATGCCGTAAAGGAGCTACGGGTAAAATTCAACAAACAAATAAACTCACTTTCGGATTTGTTATATTAGTAAGGATTATTTGTAACTATAATTTTAATCTGACAATTAAGACAACATTTCAATTTAAATTACTTTATATTCAGGCACTAGATTTTGGAAGGATATGGATACGGGAAAACTTGATTCTGAAATGGGACATTATAGCAATAAGTATATCAAGTCAATAAAAAACAAAAATGAAATCATTTGTTATATTTTTTTATTATTATGATAATTTTTTGATTTATGTGCCAACCCTATCATAACCGACTCGCTTTGTAATTCACTCGATTCAAATTTTCTACTTTGAAATAAAAAAAAAATCGACGGCGGCCTTTGTGATCCAACTTTCCTTTGCTTTCGGCGGGGCATGAAGTTGATCGTGGAAATTTTCTAACTGTGAATAAACTTGTGATTTTTCAACGTTTGATGTAAATTAAGCCCCGTTCTGTATGCGGAGTTCATTATTAGACGCTGATGTGTAAAATTGCCTTTACGGCCTTTGGTTGATTAATATTCATATCATTTTTGTTGTTTTGGGATTGTAGATATTCTATATTATGTTTCGTTATATCAGTTAAGGTGGTGAGTCATTAAACAAAATTAGATAAAAATACTAGATGACGCCTGAATTGAGACTTGTAGTTTTTGTTGATTATTTTATAGTTAAAGAAAATTTGAAACAAAATTTCATAATCGATATATTGTTCTGTAGTACTGTATTGTAGGAATAAACTTCGACGAACTTAATAATCATTTATTTTTCTTTAAAATTTAATGTTTCTATAATTTTTCGGACTTAATGCCGGAATATGTTCTTCGTCTATTATGTTTCAGAATCTCTATTAATATTGTTTATATTTATTATAAACAATGGGTTATTCATTATTTGTTAGCCCATAGCAGAATTTATTAAAAAAAATATACCTAAATAATATTAATATTTAAAGTTTGAGCTTGATTATGTATTCAACAATAATCCATCAGTCCTCAGTCCGTATAACCCGGCCTCGCCCACGTATACACTCGCAAACTAATGTGATAATTGAAATTGTGCAATTGCGTGCGAAACGCGCCCAGCGCCGTATTCATTACTAGCCAGTGTTTTTTTGCAATTTCTTTTTTTTATTTTTATTTTTTCATTGTCACCGCTACTGAAATGATACGTGTTTCTGATGGTTTAATTAATTTATGCTCGTGTCGTAAATGCTCATTTAGTAAATGGACAATTGTAGTACATTGCACTCCTATAAGTTTATTTCCACAATTGTATTATATTATGACACAGTTAATTAGATACTTCTACAATTTACCTATCTTTATCATCATCATTATCACTTCAGTCACTAATATTGAATAAAATGCATAGTAACACAATTATATTTTCATTTATCCATATAAGTATTTTTTTTTTATAATATGAAGAGCAAACGAACTTGCGGCTTAACTGATGGTAAGTGATTACCGCCGTCCATAGGCACCCGCAACGTAAGAGATTGCAGGTGTGTTGCTGGGCTTTTAGCAGATAATATGTTCTTTTCGGAAATACTACTATTGAAAGTTGGTTCCTCAAGTATCTTCCGAATTATATATTGTGTAAAGGCTCTTTATAAATTATGGTACTAATCATATCAGTAAATATTTTTCCTTTTGTATTTTGGTATCCACTGCAGAACATAGGCTTTCCTTGTAAAGTTACTGAAAGTTATCGACTACCTTTGACATATTTTAGGTTACCTCTTCGTTTAACGGGATATACTGTGTTTGCTTATATGTACGGTAACATGTGAGTTGTTATTCCTCATTGGTTTTTAATTCTTAAACCTGTGTAGGCTGTAGGCTCTTTATTATATTAGTTTTAGCAAGAAAATTAATATAGTAATGAGGGATACCATAAGGGATAATTAATTATAATCAGATTTATTTGAAGAATTAAATTTGTAAACAATAATGTGTTTGTTTTGCGTGTAAAAAAGTTGAGAATCGGTATGTGCTCACAACAAAATTACAAAACGCGTTCGAGTATCGATAACACGACGAATAATTGACGTAACGGTAAAAGCAGGCAACAATCCAGAACCCTTCGAATCAGCAGCAATTTGTTAAGTGGATTTTTGCCCGAGACACGCTCGCGGCTCGTTGCGCTTCTGTACACAATTTCATTATCTCTGCCCGCCTGCCCGCGGCCGACTCTACTATTAACTTATGCGATGCTGTGTTCATCTATGGAAATTCGAATTTATTTTTTAAAAAAATGCCATTCGAAAAATTTGTTTTTGTATTTAATTTTAATGATATACTGATTTGACTTAAAAATTTCAATTGTCAAGGTTTTTTAAGTCGACTTTTTCTTTGTGTGTAAGTATATATCTATTGCAATATATATCTAGCAATTTTTTTACTTTTATAACATTTTAAGTAAAAAATTCACTCCAATGTTGATCTCGTATTGTAGTGTAGTCCTGGCATAGAATAGGTTACCACTTACTTTTCCGTGGGTGCGTAAGAGACGGCTA